TGGCACATCAGGAAGAGATACTTCTTTCTTAAAGGTCAAAAATTACATATTAAATTGTAAAATTAGTCGCACCACATATCTCCCAAGAACTAGCAGATTAAGTAAACAAAATCAACATTAACTCAACCATGTACTTGTCGGAATTTGAATTATACCTCCGGATGCTTTTGGTAGGTGAAACTGTGAAAAGTTTGATTAATCGAGACACATTTAATTTGAAAATTAAAAACTAAACACATGCTAGAGTTTTGGTTTTTTTTTTAATTTTTTAAGTCCACTAAACTTTATTAGGAGGATTTAGAGAAATTTACTTACTTCACTTGTTTCAGGTAGTTTATATGAAATGAGTAATATAAGTAAAATTAAAGGCAATGCAGTACTTTGGCCCCTAAATTAAAAATGCCAAGTTTTTTGCATAGTTCCAATCAAGTTACAGACGTAGATGGATGTATACTGCCACCGTGTGGAAGGAAAATTAAGAGCGCTTAGGAAAGGAATCAAGGAAGACGTGTGGGTGAAACGAAAGTTTATTATCCAAATTGCCAGTCTCAAAACTCAGGGACATACATAGTCAACAAATATCTTAGTTTATGCATTTAACCCACGATAGAGTCGTCATTATTTGTCATTTTTGAGGCATCAATATTTGCTGCAGTTTCTCAGGTTCCAATTAACAGGCAACTTGTTTCCATACCACAGCAGTGCTGTACCTGTCCCGAGCTGATTCCTCTCACAAGTCAACTCTTACCTTATTGGCATTATGATTTTTTAAAAGCAAAATTGTATGTTTCCTTGATATGGTATTAATTAGGCATGTACTAATCCCTATTTATTCTCAGAAAAATTAGTTCCTCAAATACCAGATTTTAGTTTCTAACCTCTGAATTTTTTTAAATTATTACGTTTTCTTTTTTAGGTCATACCTGGTGATGCTCAGGGGTTACTCCTGTCTCTGCACTCAGGAATTACTCCTGGCGGTGCTCAGGGGACCATATGTGATGCCAGGGATCAAACCCGGGTTAGCCATATGCAAGGCAATTGCCTTCTGTGCTGTACTATTGCTCGGCCCCTAACTTCTGATTTTTATGACTTGGGTGCAAAAACCAGAGCTATAGTGTTGAAAACTACACATTTTGTTCAAAATACGTGTTTTGCCACTAAGTTTTTTCAATTAGTAATGTCAGTACAAAGCCAAACTTATTAAGAAAAAAAGTCTCCAATGAAGCCAAGGTCCTTTCAGGGAATGTAAAGTGATTTCAAAGTTTAATTTTCTACAAGTATACACTGGAGTTTATCTTCACTTGAAAACAAAATTGTAAGGTGGTTTTTCCAGTAATGGCCATTTATGTTCCCATATAATCACTGCTATTGCAGATTTAACTGTAAATTCTGGACAGAATTATAAATCAATTACTGTAAGGTAAAGGAAAATAACAAAAATCAGGTTCACTGACTGTGTGTGTATGCGTGTGTGCATGCGTGCGTGTGTATACACGTGTGCGTGCTTTGACAGTTTTTAGCATGATGGCTGGTCAACTTTGTGCCAAGGTGGATGGATACAATAAAAAAAAAATCTTGTCCAAGTCTCTCTGACTCGGACAAGCAGAGGGCAGGCTGTTGGCTCCCTTGGGTCTAAAGCAAGGAGTGGCTTGCACAGGACATCAGGCCGGGATGATCTTCCTGTGAACACTCTTCAGTCCACACCTGCTGACCTTCAACAACGTACACCCAAAGAGACCCACTAGACCTTCCGCTCACAGCAGAACTGAGATAGGAGCTTCCGCGCAAGAGACAGAGTACACAGTCGTTACTTTGCCGGGACCATCCTACGGGTGGTCAGGAGGCCCCGGGATCCCACCAGCCAGTGTTGACCCACCAGGCCTGCAGTTCAATCAAAGGGCTCGTGTGAGGATGTGGATCTACTGAGGCCTGAGGTCAGGGGAGAACCGGGACCCCCTGGTGCTCAGGGGCTTCCAGGGCTGCACCCAATGATGTCTCGGATGTCAGGGGGTACTGAATGGGTACAGGTGGGCCGCGGGCAAAGCACATGCCATGGCCTCTGTACTTTCCTGGGCCCCCGTGTATGCAGTTTGAATAGAGTCGAGTTAATTTCTTCTTTGTTCTCTTCCAGCCTTCCTTCCTTCTTTTTGGGGGGAGGAGGCTTTGGGACATACTTGGTGGTAACCAAGGCTTACTCCTGGTTCCATACTCAGGGACCATTTTTGGTGGGCTTGGGGGACCATCTGGGGTAGCAGCTGTTTCTCACACTGAGCCATCTTTTTGTGAAAAGATCATCTATGATTCAAACCTCATAGACTGGAGAGGTAGTTCAAAAGGCTGGAAGACATGCCTTGCATGCAGGAGGTCTGGCAGCACATGGTCCCCTGCGCACTGCCAGGAGGGACTCCTGAGCGCTGAACTGGAAGTAGCCCATAAGCACTAACTGAGTGTGGCCCCCATAACAACAACAACAAAAAATCCCCTCAGAGCACTTTAGTAACTGAGACTATTTTTTTCATTACACTAACGAAATAATAAATGTTATTTAAATCACCATGTGAGAGATGAAGAGAATTCTTTAAAACTCATCAAGAGTTTTCCAAGGGCTGAAGTGAGAGTGCAGTGGGTGGGGTTCTTGCCTTGCATGTGACTGATCCGGGTTCGGTCCCCAATACTCCATACAGTCCCCTGAGCCCCATCAGGAATGACCCTTGAGTGCAGAAGCAGGAGTAAACTCTGAGCACAGACAGGTGTGGCCCGAAAAACAAAAGATAGATGGGAGGGAGGGACGGGAATTTATCAGGAGCAATTCAAATCACAAACACCTTTGTGTTCCAGTACTCCCCCCAATATCAGAACAGAAGACCATGCATCCCCACCTACGCCCCAAACAGATGCTTTCCTTCATCTCTTCCCCACAGTCACATGGAGAGCCTGGGACACAAACAGCCCTAGGCCCCCGCCAGCACAGTCCACGCTGCCGGAAGACAAGAGCAATGTCCTTCTCCTGCTGCCACCATCACAAGACTTCTACGAACATTAGCTGTGACCTCTCCAGCCAAAAAAAACAACCCTTCCTCATTCCACGTCTCTGGTCTTCTATCCTGAGACTTCTCTTCCTCAGCAAAGTTCCATAGAAAGAACTTCCACTCTTCCCTCTCTCCTCCCTTTCTCCCCAAGCACCCCCCTCCCTTTTGACCTCCCTTTCTCTCTACGAGAACTATTCCGCTGGACTCCACTCCTCTGTGTTCCTGAACAGGTTATCAATGATCCTGGTCAATACAAAGTGAACTTCCACTCTTCCTCTTATTAGAGAAAGAGTATGGGCAGCATCTGAAACAGGTGATGGATCACTTTCCTCCATGACAAACCCTTGTTTTGAACACGGGAGACTCTCTTGGTGTCCTTCTATCACTGGTCGCTCCCCCCAGTCTGTTCTGCCCTGGTTCTCGTCTCTACACTCACTTTCCTCTGGTGACTTCATCCTCCCATTTAAATAGTCTCTGGATGCTACTTCATCTTCCCATTTAAATATCCCCTGGATACTGAGGCCTCCACTCCCAAAAGCATCCCTTCCAAGGCCTGACTCCAAGAGCATCTCTAGAAAGACAGCTCACGGCTCTCAAAGGCATCATGTCAAGAGCCCGAATTCTCTCTGGGACCTCAACCTGCCTCACCCGCAGCTGCTTGAGATGGATGACCCTGGGGCAGCGTTTCCCAGCCAGGGGCCCAGGACAGTCCAGGGGCCCACAGGTGAAAATCCCATAAAGGGTGGGGTTGGGAGAACATGGCACATGAGGAGGAGGCCAATACAACCCCATCGGATGGGGAGTCACCAGGAGGAAACAGATCAGAGGGGCCATGGTGGGAACACAGCTGGGAGACCCTGGGTGAGAGCACAAGTGCTGCCAGCGATGCTGTGTTTACAGCCCTGGGACAAAGGCATTTCTGAGCTGGAGGGAGCTGCAACAGAACCGAGAGGGGAGGCTGCGGCTCCTTCCTCTGACACCTGCCACAGGAGTCCCCAAGCTTGAGGGCGACGCCACCTGTCCACAGCTCTTCCAGCCACCGCAGTGACAGTCCCCTGCCACTGCTGTCCAAGGCTCATCCTTCCCGATTTCCCTGATTCCAAGAGACGCAAACCCAGCCCTCCAGACTATGCCGCTCAAACACCCGAAACTAAAACCCCTTCCGGTCTCTCTTTCGTACCTCTCCACCCTACTCATCAGAAAAAAGAATGGCTCTTCTTGCAATTTTTGTTTTTTCAACTTCCATTGATTTTTATTCCCTCCCCCTCCTTCCCTTCCTTGTGACTGATGGGGGCTGGGGGCACGTACAAGTCGGTGGTGGTGATCACTGGGGTTGCGAATCGAGGTGTGGTGCTGGCACACACTAGGTGCTCACCAAGGATTGGGCTCATTTGGTTCTGAGTCTCCCCAATGTGCACAATAGGGTCACGCTTCTGAGACATGGCGCTTCCACATCTTAGTTTGGTGCTCACTGGGGGCTGCACCCCTTATTCCGTGGTGCTCACACATGCCTGGTTGTGGCGTGGGTGGAATTCCCTGGCAGCTCTGGGGAGCACAGATGGCAGAGCTGCCAGGACTGTGCTTGGTACAAGTGAGATGCTGTGGGTTTACACCTGGAATCACAACCGAAGCCACTGCGCTATTCCACTGAACCCCTAGTTTCTGCACTTGGGAATTACTCCTGGCCACGCTCATGGGACCGTGTGAGCTGGCGGAATCAAATCTGGGTCAGCCACGTGCAAGGTAAATGTCCTTCCTGCTCTACTATCATTCCAGCCCCCTCAGGGATGAATCTTTAGGATAATCTGGCTTAATCTGCCTACTGCAAACGAAGATGCTGTGGTCATCATTTCCTCACTGTGTATTTTTCTGCAATAATTTTACTTTTATATTCTGTACCTCAAACAGGTCTGGAGCTCCTTAGCAAAAACTCTGATACCACTTCACACCATGATCAAATTTCATACAAACCTCTGTGAGGCGTTTCAGCTGCTCTTTGTTTTCACTTAATTCTTCTGAGAGGTCATTCTTTTTCATCTGTAGTTCAGAGATTTCCTTTCTTAATGGATTCACAAGTTCATAAAACCGGAGCTTTAAAACAAATTCAAGAAGCACCCTTGAAATCCAAATTATAGTTAAAATGCGATAATCTATAATTGTCTTATAAGTAATAAAACAAAAACATTAAGGTAATAAAAGGGAAACTTAAAGAGATTCAGTTTTATTTGTATAAAACCAAACATCATTAATTGACCCTAACCACTAATGTTCATATGAAATCTTAATGTTCCATTAAGATCCTTTGAGGCAGATTATCTCTCTCTCCCCATGCCTGACAGTCTTTCTTCTACCAATAGTCCATTTACAAATTCTTTTTCCTACTGCTTCTGCCCTTTCTAAACCCTCTACCTGTTATTTACCAAAGACATCCTGTGTCCAAGACCTGTGTACCTGTTGGCTTCTAATGAAAAATTCTTCCAACAGATAATGCAGGATTCATGTTCTCCCTCTCCTCAAGCCTGACATCTAAGTATCATCCTCTTGGAGGGCCAGGGATTGGGCGACCTGGGCCTGATCCCCCAGCATTCCATATGGTACCCACCAGGAGTGTTCCCTGAGAGCAGCGCTCGGAGTAAGTCCTGAGCATGGCTGGGTGTGGTCCCCGAACAAACAAACAAACAAATAAAAATTCAATATCATCCTGATCCCCCCACCCTAGTTTAAGATAACAGCCCCTATCTGATAGTAGTCCCTATTCCTTACATCTGCTTTTTACCTCCACAGGCTTGATGACAAACATTCGCCATGATTTATTGTCTGGATTTTTCCACTAGAATCTAAGCCAGGAAATCACAGGAGGAATTTTTGTTTAGTGTGCATATGACTCTACCTCCAATGCCAAATTACACAGTGAGACTATATCCTAGACTACTGGGGAAGTTGGGGAAGTAATTAGCATGAAGCAGGGAGCATCTGTTATGTCTCTTACACTCTGTTCAAATTTCTCTCTCCACTGATAGTTCTCTTAGGGGAGTCTGCCTGCCCTGAGGTGGTAAAATGTTCTACCTGACTACATCCCATGCAACAAAAAGGCCTTTGGTGGGGGTGAGGTAACTGTGGACACCCAGACCACAAATGTCAACTCCATTGTAAACACATTCACTTAGATATAATAAATTAAACACAAACAATAACTAAACTTGAAAATAAAAATGTCACCCACCGACAAGTTAAGAGAGAGTAATTAGGGGCTACTTATTACCCAGGCCTATGACCTGAGACTTCTTAGTGTCTTAGTATGGTAAGAGTGCCATGTCTGGGAACAGGCAAGTGCTCAGGCTGGTCTTCAACACAATGAGTCTGTGTATTATTAACTAGTTTGAACAATACCTCTGAAAACAAAAAATACAGCAAGGAAAATTATACTGGAAAACAAAAACATGTAGAACTGTCCCTAACAATATATTTGATAACTACTGTTGATAAAGACAACACTTGAAATATGTTCTGGATAGTACACTGTAAGCAGAAAAAAAAATACATTTGGACAATTTAAGTAAAACACAGACAAAAAGGCAACACCTTTTTTTCTTTCTTTCTTTCTTCCTTTTCTTTTTTTAAATCATCTATCAAGAACTTATTCAAATGAGAATTGAGCAGTTTATATCCCTATTGAGAGTCAATTCTTACCTGGTCACAGTAGAAGGATGTTACTACCATTACTAATCATTTCACAAAAAAAAAAAAATTCAAATCTCTTAGGGAGAAATGACATTGATGTACACAAACCAGAAGTTCTCAATTTCTCAATGTATGTGAACAGTTGGGATGTATGCTCCCATACATGCAATGTACGGGAACAATGTTGGGAACCCTTATCCTTGCCTCCCACTCTGAAGCTTTTCTGGGAATTTTTAAGATCAAAACTATTTTCCAAGCAATACTAAAATTTTTTGCCTGTTGTTCTTATCCTCATATGCCTATTCTGTGACTTTGCCAAAGACTATATGCCTCATACCTTCACCCTAAGTCTAATGGATTGCGTACTATGTATTCTTGTGTTTCAAAATATCTCATTTAATTTCTAATAAGGCAAATGTTAATAGAAATAGTTCATCAAAACAAAAACTCTTTGGATTCCCTCCATAATTTTTGGAGTGTAAAGGGATACTGATAATAACAACAACGAAAAATCTGAGACCACTGTTAAAGATCAACTCTCTGTGCAGATTTGTGTAACCAACACGGCAAACAAGATCCTCAACCAGAGCCACAAAGGTCTTCCTCATCCTTTACCCTTTATAACTACACCAAATTCCCCTTTCTAATAACCCAGTCAACCATTCATCTGTCGCTTATAATTTTCCATTTTACGATGTTACCCAAGCACAAAAATCTGTAAGTCTACAACTGTACCTCCTGATGTCTCACTAATAAAAATTAAAAAAAAAAAAAAAGAATGTTACAAAGTACAGTTTATAAGAAGGGTCATTGCCAAGACCCTTCAGATCTGGTGAAGTGAGCCCTGCTTGCTACTTCAGATTAAGGCCACACAGCAATTTACTACGTAGGTAGTAAAAAATTATATTACTACATAAATATCAAATTTTAGTCTGGAAATCCACGCACCTGATTTTTGCTTTGTTCTGTTTGGGGGCCACACCTGGCAGCCTGTGATCAGGGTTGCTGTCACTCCTGGTGGAGTCGGAGGAACATATGGGTGGACAGGGAGAGGAACTGGTGAGCCGCTAGTGAGGCAAGACCTTGCCCACTGAACTATCTCTCTGCCCCCGCAAACACAAGCATTTGAAAAAAAAACTGACACAAGACACTCACAGATACATATTCAGGAATAGAGAGGAGGTCTTCAGAAAAACTTTTTAGTTTTATATATTGTTCTTCTGTCAACTCAAATTCACGTAGGTTTCGGCGAATATCTCCAGCTTTCTCTCTTAGCTGCTGATTTGTCTCTTCTAATTGTTTCTGTCTCAATAAAATCGTTTCCATTTCTTGTTTCATTAGTTCTTGATATTTTCTATATAAGGCAAGAATTTATGGCAGATTTAAAAAAAAATCTTTGAAATTTCACTTTCTGTTACCTTTTAATGGTACTGCAAATTATAAGATTCACATAGAGTATTAGAAAAGACTCAAAATGGCTTAAAAATTCAAATGATAAAAATCGCATTTCTTTGTTTAAAATTTAAGTCTTATATATGTGTTTTGAACCTGATTTACTAAAATTGTTTTTTATTCTTTTTATTTAGGTACTTCAACATATGCATACCTCAAGATAGCAACATCAAAACGTAATAAGGTTTTCATTCATCAATAAGTTAAAGAAAGTGGTAATCAACACATAATCATCATTCCCAGAATTTTTTTTTTTTTAACAAACAAAGCAAACCAGGGATTTTATTGGAGGACAGAGCTCAAGAAGCAGAGCACAGAGATCACATGGCTGCTTCTCCCGGAAGGGAGCATAACATAAGCCCCAGAGCCATGCCACCGGACTCATTGCCAGGCAGCTTCACTCGGGGCGCCCCAGAGGTGGGGCGGGTGAGACCCCTTCCCACCCCAAGAGACCCAGCTCCAGCAGCCAAAAACCTCCACAACCTAACAGATGCCACACTCAAGGCTGCTCCCCACACGCTCAGGCAAAGTCTCACATATGAGTGAACATATTCCTGGACCGCACGACACATCACTCCCTGCTCATTCTCCATAATCACCACACCATATCTGGTGGGGTTCAGATATCACTGTATCACTGTCATCCTGTTGTTCACTGATTGCCTCGAGCAGGCCCCAGTAACGTCTCCTTTGTCCTAGCTCTGAGATTTTAAAAAGTGCCACATTCGAGGCTCTTTCAGGGTCAGGAGAATGAGACCCATCATTGTTACTGGTTTTTGGCATATTAAATATGCCATGGGGAGTTTGCCAGACTCTACTGTGTGGACAGGATACTTTTGGTAGTCTGCCAGGTTCTCCAGAGTAAGAAATAGATAATAACGTGTGGAGAGTGGTCTTAAGCCTGGCTGTGGCTGGAACCGGAGGTCTTCAGCTGCCGGGGCTCTGCTCGGGGTGGGGAGGGAAACTCAACCCACCCTCCTCCAAGGGGCCCTGGGTGAGGACAGCCAGGCGCAGAGTCGCTGTTCTCTTCCCAGAGCAGGGTTTTAGTCTCTGGGTCTTGGCCATTGATGGGATTACACGGCGCCAGGGGCAGTTGGTGGCTATAACGCTTACATACTGGAAGGTGGGGGATCTGGGTGGAGGAGGCCCAGTCCCAATCTGAGCAGGCTTGGAGATATCTCGCGCCGGGTCCCGCACACCTGGGTTCCTCTGCTGTTGCCTTCGTGTGTGAGGCTCCTCCGAATGTGTTGAGAGTGGTTTTACGCATGGCTGTGGCTGGAACCAGAGGTCTTCGGCTGCCGGGGCTCTGCTCGGGGTGGGGAGAGAAACTCAACCCACCCTTCTCCAAGGGGCCCCAGTGAGGACAGCTGGGTGCGGAGGCAGGAGACTCTGCGATGTTCTCTTCCGGGAGCAGGGTTTTATAGTCTCGGGGTCTCGGAACCCAGGTGTGCGGGACCCAGGGCATAGATCTCCAAGCCTGCTCGGATCGGGACTGAGGCCTCCTTCACCCAGATCCCCCACCTTCCACTATGTAGGCGTTACGCCCACCAACTGCCCCTGGCGCTGTGTAATCCCATCAACGGTATTCAGATAGTAGGCAACAAATCATAGAGAGAAATATATATATATACATATATATATACATATACATATGTACCAAGGTTTCCATCACCCAAACTTTAACAATATGTTAGTGATATATACTATAGAATGTATGTCTAAATGGCTGCTGCCAAAATAGAACAATTTCTACAATGTTTCCTATATGAACACTTTTTTGTAAGCATGTTCAGAGTTCTTCATAACAGATAATACAAAATATATTACTTCAGTTGTGTTTTGGGACAGGGATTGGGATTTGGGATGGAAACATCCCGAATTTGGTGGTGGGAGGGCGTGATGGTGGTGGGATTGGTGTTTGAAGATTAAATGTAATCAAATATTGTGAACTAATAAAATATGAAATAGAGTCTTATAAAATAAAAAATAATAATAAAAAAAAAAGAAGCAGAGCCCAGGGCTTCCGTGTGACCCCTCCCTGGGCTTTAGCTTAGGCTCCTGGTGGCCGCATGAGTCCTGCTTGGGGTTGGGGCCCACACATCAAAACCCCAAATAGTCTGAAAAAAAAAATAGAAAAAAAAATGGCCAAAATCCATGTAGTGAACATTATTATTGTTGAGTACCTACCCCAAATTTTTGGGGGTTTGGGGGGAGGACAAGGGGTTTATGTGTTGGGAGGGAGGTGCTGGGCCACACCAGCTGTGGTCAGGGGCTGTTTTTGGCTCTGTGTACAGGAGTGACCTCTGCAAAGGCTCGGGAACTACATGCAGTGCCAGGGATCAGACCAGGCCTAGTAGCAGGCAATTAAGCTCGGGACTCTCTCTCCATCTCTCCAGCCCTACACAAAGATTTCAAAGAGGAAGGAACAATCTAATTTCTTCCCCCTCCAATCTGTGGTCATGCCAACATATGCATAAGCTATCTCTCATCTTAAGACAAGTGAGCAGGGGCTTCGGGATACTTGGAACATCATTGGAGTACTATTTTAGTTCAATCCCTGCATTTCATGGCTTCCTGATCACTGCTGGGTCCAACCACTGAACCTTCAGGACAGCATCCTAGGCCAAGTATCACCAGAAGTAGACCCCGGGCCTCCTGAACACGGCTTTGGATTAAAAAAAAAATTCACTTTGGACTCTATTTCAATGTCTATTGTTTATTTTCCCATGGAGTAAAACTTCTTGGAAGTTGCCAATATTCACTGTCTTTGAGGTTTGTCTTCTAAAACCCATTATAATCAGGTTTTCACTCTTACTGAAATACCAAGATCGCCAATGAGACCCATATTGCTGGTGATCAAATTGGTCAATACTATACTGGGACGATCGGTCCTCTTCTCTGACGGCAGTTTTCTCCTTTGGGAAATCTATTCAGTTTCATGACTTAAACACTCTCTATGTCCTAAGGACAGCGCTTGTATAGATATATTACAGACCTGACATATACTTCCATGTGAATCTCTGACAAGACTGTTCTGTCTCAAACTGAACTCTTCACCAACTAATCTACTCCACCGTGGTTTCCCATCTTAGCTGACAACCTCATGCTTTCAAATTCAGGACAAAAATGTTGGCACAATCTTTGACTCCTCTTTCTCATGAACCTCACATCTAATATATTAGGACATCGTATTAGTTCTACCTTTAAAAGACATTCAGCCACTCTTTACCACCATCAGTTATCAAGAGGATTATTCAATAGCTACCTAACCAGGGCACCATATGGGATGCTGGGGATCAAACCCAGGTCAGCTGCTTGCAAAGCAAATACCCTACCGCTGTACTATTGCTCCAGCCCCAGGGGCCAGATCATTTTCAAAAACATGTTAGACACTAAAATCTCATAAGGGAAAGAGATAATAACTTAACACATTTACTTCTAATTAAGATATATAAATATTCATTTGCCAAATTATTAACATAGGGCTCATTTTTCGTGAAATATGGAAACTTGTTCTACTTCTGCGTAATTCACTACTCATACTTTTCAGCTAAGTTTACTCACAGAGGCAGCCTTTACAAAACACAGGGGATGAAATCTGAGAGGATATTCTTCCAGGACTTGATTTTTACCTCCAATATCTCTGGTTTTCTTTTTTCCCTCTAATCTCTTAATCTATTCTGCTTACACTTAATTGGAACTTTATTTTCATTACTTTTATTCTTTTTCAAGGATATTATTGCAGCTTTTATAAAAATGACCCACTCTTATGCAATTACATTTGTTTATATCATTTCTGATTAAATCATACGATTAATTAAAATTCTACAAAAGAACACAGGGCAGGCTGGAACAATAGTACAGAGGGAAGGGCGCTTGCCTTGAACAAGGCTGACCTGAGTTCAATCTCTGACACCACAGATGGTCCTCTGAGAATATCCAGGAGAATTTTTTTGTTTTTCTGTTTATTTTTAATTTTTTTAAAAATTAAATCATTGTGAGGGAGACCCTTACAAAGCTGTTCATGATTAGGTGTCAGTCATACAGTGTTCCAACACCCACCCCTCCACTAGTGTACATTTCCCAGCACCAGTGTCCCCAGTTTCCCTCCATCACCCCCCACCTCCCAGAGAGGCAGCCACTTTTCTTTTAAAATCATTTCCGAACTTTCCTAGAATCTAATTTACAAACACGAGCATGGAAGGAAAATAAAATTACTTTCTAACTACTCAAAGAGTATGACTAATCTATAAAAATGTTTACCTAGCATCCTTCTGTTGAAAAGTCAATTGGTTGTCTAATCTCAGTGTCAGTACCTGCTTCTGATGAAGTGCATCATTAAGTTTCTCCTCCAATTCTTCAATCTTAAGAGAAAAAAAACAACAAATTTTCATATGATCATTTTCAAATGTATCATTAATTAAGAACATAGGTAAGGAATATAAAAAAAAGTGTTCAATGTTATTGACTACCATGATAGCATTGTAGCACTGTCCTCTCGTTGTTCACCGATTTGCTTGAGCGGGTACCAGTAACATCTCCATTATGAGGCTTGTTGTTACTGTTTTTGGCATATCAAATACACCACAGGGAGCTTGCCGGGCTCTGCTGTGTAGGGGGGATACTCTCAGTAGCTTGCTGGGCTCTCCGAGAGAGACAGAGGAATCAAACCCAGGTCGGCCGCATGCAAGGTAAGGGCCCTACTTGCTGTGCTATTGCTCCAGCCATGATAATGAGGAAAATACAAATCTAAATGACAATATGGTATCACCTATACCAGCGAGAATGGCCTGTATTAGTGAGACCAGAAAAAACTTGTGTTGCAGAGAAGCAGTGAAAAAAACTGCTATTCTATGTTGGTAGAATTGTAAGCTGATTTAGTCTCTCTGAAACAGGTATGAAAACCACCACAAGATGCAGCAATTCCACTCCACGGTTTCTATCACAAGAATACAAAACACTAATCAGAAAAGACACATGTTTTCCCACAGTCACTGCAGTGTTATTTGCAATAAACTAAGATCTGGAAATAACCCAAGTACCCAACAAAAGATGAATGAATAAAGACTCTTCTTTTTTTTAATAGGGGCTGAGGGATAGCACATAGGGCTGGAACGCATGCTTTGCATTCCAAAGTCCTGGGGTTCAAGCCCTGATACCACATGGTCTGCCAGCCCAACTAGGAACACTCTTGAGCACTGCCAGGCAAGGCCTTAAAAGTCAAACTAATTTGTGATATAATGCACAATGGAACACTACTGAGCTACAAGGAAAGGGACAATTGCCCATTTTGCTACAACATGAATAGAACTAGGGAGTGTAATGTGCAGTGAAATAAATCAGGGGAAGAAGGATGAATGTTGAATCATTTCATATATATGTGACACTAAATACAACAAAGCAAAGGAACGGACAAGTGTACAACGAAAAGAAGACTTCCGACTTGACAATGGAATTGAGGACACCCTATACTGTCCGCAGGGCCTCATCGGGAGTGACCTCCAAGTACCAAGCCAGAGAGAAGTAGGCCCTGAGCAAAGCTTATGTGGTCCCCAAACTCAAACCAAAAGCCTCAAAGGCAGCATCTTGCACAGAAAAAGCACAACATAAATGTTACCTATTGCTAAATATTTTTAAAATAAACTTAAACTTTACTTCATGAAGATCTTGGGATATGAGACACTTTATGTTCCTAGTATGGTTCAACTATCTCCCAGCGGCAAGACAACGAGGTAGGTAAATATCGACAGGCCTGAGTGAAGACAGAAGACCAACTTACTCTAACTCACACACCAGAACTGGAAGGCAGCTATTCTTACCACCATACAACCAATATGCATCAAAAACAACAGAAATGAAGGAGAGAGAAAGAGGTAGGTAGGATCAAGAGCAAAAGTGGGAAATTACTTGACAGAAAAGACTGTCTCAGCAAGTTCTCGTGCCTTTCTGAAATCATGGTACGTCTCTTACAACTAGAGACAATTTCACTAGGTCTTTGTCAAGTTAAATACTATGGTGTAAGGTAAATAAACACATAAGGCAGAACAACAGCAACCAAGTCATCCTTTCCTACTTGGCAAACATCATTTGGTAAAGACTAGGAAACTGAATTGACAATCAACATTACTTTCACTTTTTGCAGGGGGTGAGAAGCCACACCCTGGGATGCTGAGGAGTTACTCCTGGCTCTGCACTCAGGAACTGCTCCTGGTGGTGCTCGGGGAACTATATGGGATGCTGGGGATTGAACCCAGGTCAGCTACATGCAAGGCAAGCTCCCCACCTGTTGTACTATCTCTCTGTTCAAAAAGTCAACATTATGATATGGTAACTATCAGATAGAAAGATAAACACAGTAATAATCAAATAGATTTAAAAAACAACAACAACTGGGACTGGAGCAATGGTACAGTGGGTACGGTGCTTGCCTTGCATGCAGTTGATTTTGGTCCATTCCCGGATACTTCATATGGTCCCCTGACCCTTGCCAAGAGTGATCCCTGAGCACAGAGCCAAGAGTAAGCCCTAACAGGTATGGCCCCAAAAGAAAGCAACAACAACAACTAAAGGAAACCAAACCTCCAGGCATTTTCAACAACATATGTAATAATTGTGCAGTTAATAATCATTACATAATTTTATATAGACTTTACCAAGCTAGTTGCACCATGGTTTTCAATGAAGCAAAACTAATTATATATGTACACACACACACACACACACACACACACACACACACACACACACACCCCTAGATCATGACACATGTACTTCACACATCTAAATTTGAAGAACTGAGCTTACCTCAAAGCAATTCATTCCTGCCCACCTTTAAAGTCCAAAGTTCCTGGCATTTATTTGTTACAGATTACTCACTATCCCCCCTCCATGCCAAAACAGTTCCTTAAAAACTATACAAGAAAATGTCATTTTCTCAAGGTATTTAGAGGTCATTTTGTGTATTAAAAATAATTTTAAATGCAGATTACATTCATATGATTTTAGCTATTATTCATCTAAAGTTTAAAGACAATAAAGCATGTAAAGGAAATTTACACTGAATCTTACCTTTGTAAGATAATCCACTTTCAAATTGTCGATCATCATATTTTTCTGGGATAGCTCTATTTTCAGCAGTTGAATGTTATGAAGTAGTTCTTTCCGCTCAATTAATTGCCTGGTAATTTTTATTTTACCATCGGGCTCTTCTGATGAGGAAATATCATCTGTAGGAACTGTTGTTTCTAAACTAATATCTTCAGATTCCAAAGAGCTTGAGATGTTCACCTTTTTTGATGTCTTGGATGTTTTTCGAGACATCTTTTATTGCTGGTCAGTTTTATTCTTCAATTGTATTTCAATTCTCTGTAGGTTAAAAATATTAATTTAAATATACCATGCATTTCCTCTATATGATTTAAATGCAATATTCTCTATGGAAAGCATAAAATGTATTAAAGCGATACTGAGATCTCCCCCAGTATTTTGTTTGTTTGGGGCCATACCCAGCGAAGCTCAGGGTTTACACTGCACTGCACTTGGGGATCACTTCTGGAAGGTTCTGGGACCACATGGGGTGCCAGGAGGCATAGAACCCCAGTTTGCCCATGGTACTACTACTTCAGTCCCTCCCCCAGTATTTATGAGGCAATCTGGACTACCCCAAACCTATGGCAGATAACTAGAATTGATTACTGCTCAAACAAAACATATAGTCCTTAAAAGAAATATTCTCCTAGAATTGACAATAATATCAGCAGAGGCCATAGATCCAATTAAATAGTAACATTAATGGCATTCATTAGGATTGGCCCAATCCTACTATTATCTTATTCTTTTGAAGGACCAGGAATTTTCTTCGGAGGCAGCAGGAGACAGAGGTTAAATCTGTTACCCAGCACTGCTAATAAAATCAACATAGATTCCAGAATAACCACTCTGGTTCGGTTTGGGGGAAAAAGGTTACGGGAGGTAGGGCTTAGAATTCTGCAAGAGTTGGAGATGAATAGTGAAATGGGAAAAAAAAAAAAAAAACCCATCCAGGAACAGGGTTGGAGGAGCGGCAAAGAACACATCAATGTTAAAAAACAATAGCAAGTGTAGACAGGTGGGGTGCAGAGCCAAGCAGGTGCGGTTCAGTGATTCCCTCCCCAACAGGAGCAAGGGGGGGTAACATAAAAGATCAACTGTGGGGAGGACCCTGAGTGGCAAAACCTTCTAGTGGTAATGGATTTTTTTTTAAATGTTTGTTTTACATCAAACTGGGAGCTTGCAAAACAAGAAGAATTTTTGCAGATTTCCAAACAGCAGCACCCAACTGCGCAAAACGGAAGCACTCACACAGAGAATCCTCTTTCCCCTCCCCCCACCCCCAAGAATTCCAGCAACTCCCTTGTTTGGATACTTACACGTTGTAAAGAAGTGGGTTTTTTTTTCTTTTTTGGGGGGGGACGGGGGTTGTGACCGCAGAAGACCTACGGAACGATGGCAACAAAGGTGAGGAGTGGACACAGGACTCCAAAGAGGAGAGGCTTTCCTCCTTGGAAAGGAAACCGACCAGGAGAGGTGCAATCAAAAGACCAGCCACGTATCCCGGATCACAAAAGATCCGAGGCCTGGAGGGGTGGGGGGGTGGGGGGGAAAAGCCCCCGAGGAGTGCAGCGTGGAGACTCAAACTCGGGCTTTAGCAGCAGTGCTGGGAGTGTCCGCGTCCAGCGCAGGAGAGGAACCGAGCTGGACAGTCGCGTGCTCCCTCGGAAGCGCTTGCAACTGCTCCACACCCGCAGCCGCTTGCAAAGCTGAAGGAGCACCTGAACGCAGTTCCGGGATGGGGGGGCAACACCTCTCGCCGGGATCCCCGGGTCCAAAAACCGTTAGGACCCGTCACCTAGACAACCACTTCCGCGCCCGGAGAAGGACGGAGGAAGCGGCTGCGCGCGCACGGCCACGCCGCCGGAACTTCTGCGCGGGGCGCAAGGCCTGCTGGGAGTTGTAGTCCAGAAGGCGGTCTTTCCGGCGGCCCCGGCCGGAAATGCCTCCAGTCCCCGCCTACCTGCCGCGCTTTCGCCCAATCAGCGCAGGCCTTCGACAGCCAATCATCGTCAGTCGCGGAAACTTTTCCCGCGAGGGAGCCTTTCGCTGTCAGCGGCGGGGAGAGGGGGCTCGGGTGGGTGCGCGGCGCTCCGGGACCCCGCGTTCGAGTCCAGATCTTTGGCGGGAGTTGAGGCCGGGCACCCGCCAGAGCACGATGCTCAGGTCCAAGACCTTCCTGAAGAAGACGCGGGCGGGCGGCGTGGTGAAGATCGTGCGGGAGCACTACCTGCGGGACGACATCGGCTGCGGGGCGCCCGGGTGCTCGGCGTGCGGCGCGGCGCACGAGGGGCCCGTCCTGGAGCCGACGCCCCTGGAGCCCGCCAGCCGCCTGTGTCCGCGCCCGCACTACCTGCTGCCCGACACGAACGTCCTGCTGCACCAGGTGCGCGGGGCCACGGGCGCGCGGCGGCCACGCGGGCCCGCTCGGGCGGGGGGCGGGGACGTGACAGAGAGGGAAACTGAGGCCCGAGAAAGCGCGTCCTGTGCGGGAGCGTCTTGTGCAATTCCGGTGCAGCATTCAGGCATCAGCGTCCTTGGAGGCCGACCCTGTGGGCACCCATGCTCCCTGTCATCTAGGTTGTGTTGCTGTCCAAGACCTATTTTTTTAAAGTTTCCTTTTTTTTTTTCATTTTTTTTTTATTTTATTTTTTGGAGTCACAGGAACTTGAGGCGCCTTCATTTTCTAACTCCTGATATCTCTTTTGCCTTAGATATTCAGTGTCTGGAGGCCGGGGACCTGGGCTTCTGTGGCCTCCAGCCTGCGACCCCCAGGCAGCTTGTAAGTGCCAATGAATGACAATTCTGGGGGCCGATGGATTGCTTTAGTGGTGGACCAAAATCGTCACCCAAGTTTTGGGGTCTGTTACCTGCACTGTATAATAGACCCGAAGGGTGTTGGTCTACGGCGAAATAGCTCCTTAGCTTAAATGCACATTTTAGTGCTTTTGCAACTGGCGGGGTTTTGTGTTGGGCAGCAGCAGCTTGTAAATGACCTTTTTCTTTCTTTTTTTTTCTTTCAAGATTGATGTCCTTGAGGACCCGGCCATCAGAAATGTGATCGTGCTTCAGACTGTTCTCCAAGAAGTGAGAAATCGGAGCGCACCGGTGTATAAACGAATCCGAGACTTGACTAGTAACCAGGAGAAGCATTTCTATACCTTCACTAATGAGCACCATAGGTGGGGGGATCTGAAATTTTGTTATCAGAAAGCAAGAGGCTAAGCTTGATTTTTTTTTTTATGGCAGTTACGTTTTGAGTTGGTTTTAGTATGAGTTGTACAGCAGTCTTGGAAGATAAGATTTGCTCAGGCAGGAGAAGCATTTTGTATGAACAGCCAACAGTGGTTAATATATTTGTGAAGGACTTAAAAAATATAGAGCAGGTTTGTTCTTCATGGACTTTTATAAGTTAAGCGGATACTTCATGATTCCTTTTAAATGATCATAGTAAAGAATGTAAGGTTAATAAATACAGAGGATTTTTGTGTGTTTCAGATTCAAGATTGAACATGATATAGTCCTAGGAAATATATCTCTGTTCGGGTGAGGGATTGAGACCACACCTCTGGGATACTTAGGGGCTATTCATTATGACTACTCATCGGTCAGTGTGTGTGTGTGTGTGTGTGTGTGTGTGTGTGTGTGTGTGTGTGTTTGTGTGTTTGTGTGTGCATTCGCGCACTCGCGCACTCATGCATGATAGAAACTTCGAAGAACCGTGTGGGTGCTGCCATCAAATGAGGGTGACCTATACTTCTTTCTGGCCTAATTTTTTGTTGCATAAATAACCTATGAGTGCTGGTGACATTTTGGATTGGATACTTTTAAGATTTTATTGAAGTGACAGTTTATAATGTTATGTAGTGGCTTAGAGGATTACACTTGTTTACAACATTATTATAAATTAATATCTGTATGCCTAGAAAAGTCTTTAGTTTCCACTTTTCCCATACATTTGACTGAACTTATCTCCCTTTTCTGGTAACCACTAGTTTGTTCTTTCAGTCTAAACATTTCTTTTGTTGATCAATTTATTTATTGTTTTTTATATTGGGGATGGAATCCTAGGGAAAAGCATTCATTCTGTGCCAGGAACTTGCTTAACCAATTTTGTTTCTTTGTTTTTTTTATCTTCTTTGTTGTGGAAAGAATTTTTTTATACCCTGGAAATTGTTCACCTTTCTTTGGCTCCATGTTTCCCGAGCCAAACTAGTAGCCCTCTTCTTTAAGTCCACTGAACTGACCAGAAATGTTTCTATATATTGTCAGATGTTGGTGGCAGGGTTGGGTGGGGAGGGATGAATGTAGACATCACCACCTGGTTGTAACCACAGGATTAGATTTATAAGAACTGGGTGTGTCCCCCCAAATAAACAAAGATTCAGCTTTTAGCAATTGCTATTTATCTATAATTTCAATGAGATCTCTCAGATCTCCCAGTTTCTGAAAATTTATTTAGTTATGCTTTTTGAGTTATACCTGGCAATACTCAGGGGTTACTTCTGGCTCTGCACTGAGGAATTATTCCTGGCGGTGCTCGGGGGACCTTATGGGATAACAAAGATCTGACCCTGTTTGACCACGTGCAAGGCGCACACCCTATCCACTGTACTATCATTCCAGCCCAGACTTCCCAGTTTTTAGTAATATATTTTTCAAAAGACTATTCATGTAATTTGTTCTTATAGAAAGTAATCTCAGATATTAATTCTTATAAAATAAAAGTTAGCCTTCTTTTTCCCCATTAATGACATGATTTTCTTTTTTTTTCCAAGAAATTGTTGCATTCAAAAAATGTCAGGATCCTCTTTATTTCTTTTTTCAACTAGAATTCTGTAGCTAGTAAAAGAAAAATATTTGCCACTGAAAGTAATCTCAGATATTAATTCTTATAAAATAAAAGTTAGCCTTCTTTTTCCCCATTAATGACATGATTTTCTTTTTTTTTCCAAGAAATTGTTGCATTCAAAAAATGTCAGGATCCTCTTTATTTCTTTTTTCAACTAGAATTCTGTAGCTAGTAAAAGAAAAATATTTGCCACTGATTTTTGTTTTGTTTTGTTTCGGGGGGTGGGGGCCACCCCGCAGTGCTCAGGAGTTACTCCTGGCTCTGCACTCAGGAATTGCTGTGTCTGTGCTCAGGGGACCATATGGGATGTCGGGCTGTGTGGAATGCTGGGCTGGCGGCCACATGCAAGGCAAATGCCCTACTTGGACTACCTACCTGCACTGCTAGCATTTGCTCTAGCCCCATAAGAAACATTCTTGTTTTCTTTTGCGGTCACCCTGGCAATGCTCAAGGGTTATTTCTGACTCTGAGTTTAGGGATCAGTCCTGGTGTTGCTCAGGGGAACAGATGGAGTATTGGATATCAAACCCGGGTCATCTGCATGCAAGGCAAATGCCTTCAAGGGTGCTGTAATTTTGCTTCAGTACCACTGATTTTTTAAGTTCAGTGGCTATTAAATGTTTATTTGCTAAGATGTTCTTATCCTGATTTTCTTTTATTTTTTCCTTCCCTTTATATAGGGAAACTTACATAGAACAAGAACAGGGAGAAAATTCTAATGACAGGAATGATAGAGCCATTCGAGTAGCTGCCAAGTGGTACAATGAACATTTGAAGAGCATATCCTCAGAGAATCAGCTGCAAGTTGTCCTCATAACTAATGACAGAAAAAACAAAGAGAAAGCTGTCGAAGAGGGAATACCAGCATTCACCTGTAAGTGTAACTGCTGAGACTGTTGGTTCGTGTTTGCAAATGCATATAAAAATTATCATAAAGTCCATGTTCATTAGATTTTTTTCATTTTATCATCCTATATGGGGTTGTGGTATTTTTGCATTTTTTGCTTTCTCAGCAATTTTAATTGTAAATTTTGGTGCTTGGTGACTTATTTTCTCTTCTTTTGAACCCCACCCAGTGGTGCTTAAGGCTTATTCCTGGCTTTGAGCTCAGAGATCATTTTTAGTGAGGCTTTGGGTACTGTATTGGGTGTTGGGAATCAAACTTGGGCTGGTCATGTACAAGACAAGTACCCTAAGTACCCTGCCTGCAGTACTCCAATCCCCCCTCCACCCCGCAACCCCGAGACTGTTAATTTCCCCTTAGTCATTTGAAATTGTCTGACCTATAAAAGTTAAATACATCAATCCCCATCCTGTGTGTATATGCCCATGTCTACAGATGAAGTCTTCACCCCCAAGCCTAACGGACAATTGTTCAAAAGCATATTAAGTCTTTGCATTTCTTTTTTTTTTTTTTTTTTTTTTAAATATAATTTATTTATTTATTGGATCACTGTGGGAAAAGTTACAGAGTTTTCGGGTTTAGGTCTCAGTCATGTAGATACCAAACACATTTCCCTTTACCAATACTCATTTTT